GATTTGGCATCAAGGTGGGAGAGGATGGTTTCTGCCAGATGGGATACTCCATGCGCTAAGGAATGAAACAAAAGTCGACCCATTAGCATTCCTATTGACATCGAACCAAAGGCAACCACGCACATGAGTGTAATCTGTCTTTCTTCAGCGGCGGTGACTGAGTTCTGACGGTCTACGTTACTTCGAAAGTTTGATAGGGCCGAGTGCAGACATTGTCATTACACGTTAAAGTCGCGGAGTGAACACGTTGGACATTTTCGCATCTGCCACAGGGCACCCGGCCAACCATCCGCCGCTACCCAGAGGAACGTCACCGGAGAAACTGTCTCCACCTGCCCATACTTTTCATGCACGGTTCGTTTTCGTCAGACACCTTCGATACCAACACAACGCAGATGCCGTCAAGAAACAGAGGATAACCGCCGGTAACGTCGGAGAGCAATAGCCTGCTATTGTACTTTCCAATTACGCATTGGCCTGATCGGGTATTTGCATATCAATTGTAGGGCGAAGGGAAAGTCGCTGCCAAAGACACACAGTACTCACACAGTATACCGCAATGATTAAGTTTGTTATCGACAATCACGACGGGCAGACCATTGTACAAACCACGCATAGTCTATTTCTCCACAACTCGGTCATCGACACCTATATAAAGAAATCAGAATCCGATGCGGCAGTGAAAGTTAACTCGCCACAGAATATAAGAACAACTTGTTACATTTTTCAATGGGTTCTTTGGAAAGACGGAGTACATGGAGGCCCATAACAGCAGCTTAGATTGTTTATTCGAGGTTTCTATTTAGCGGCCTGAATGAAGAACCTACTCATAAGGCGGAGACAGTAAAGTCCGCGTGTACCGAGCACTCGTTCGACCAGTGTTGGCTCAGAACAACCCTTTTATTAAAGTGCACATAGTTCATCTCGAATGGAGCAGTCCACACTCGACGGGACATGAGAACGATACGTCAGGTCATACAACCAAGAGAAATAGAATGATTTGTACGCTTTCATAGTTGTCCGCACCGTGAATTCCGTATTGATGTCACTGATACAACGCTGCTAACCTGGAGAAGTCGAAGCAGTCAACTGGAAACCAGGCCCAACGAGTCCGTCAAGACAGTAGGGTGGCTCTTAGGCCACAAGTCTCTGGTCTCCATCAGTGGAGAAGAGTGGGTCAAGCTCTCCAGACCCGTGCCGCAGACTGTGAAGCAAAATTTGCGATATCAATCAGGCCGACTACACCAGACATGGGCAAGACGTAGCAGGCAGTCGTTGCCGGTTAACGACTGCTGTCGTCAGTCTTTAGGTCGCCGAGTTCGATGCTCCGTCGACCGTTACGACTGCTCGCAGCTCCCAGTTAGAGTTCATATTCTTTCAAGCCCTGGACATCTTCCTGATCTGCATGCGGATTTGGAAGACGGCCTATCATCCAGGCCACAACGTTATGCCATTAACTGAAGACTACCCTGCGTGTTACAGAGGATCCGGCGAGTTAAACAGACAACGCCCTGTTTGTACTTCTGGGTATTCGGATGACACAGTAATCGGACTTAGACTGCAGTGTGCCCGATTTGGTGTTTGGTGCAACCATTTGACTGCCAGGCAGTTGGCAACACAAGCGCAGTTTGTTGTCCTCAAACATATGCTCACGAGCAGCACGAAACTCCAACTCGCTAAAAGGCACCCGCGAACGTAGTACCCAAACCCAGATCAGTTGCATGCGGCGACCATAGGGCGAAGAGACACCGAGTCAGTTCCATTGCCGACAATCATCTCCTGTAGGAAGCAGAAGAGGGAAACCAGAACCAGGGCAAGGTAACAGCACATACTGGAGGTTAGCACGCCTCTTTCGATACATCAGTTGATGTAATCCTAAGCTCTGGATTTCCCTCCATTAGGATGAAGGGTGCTTACTTGTACTTCATCACGCCTGGACTAGCCAGTCTCAGTGTTAATCAGATATCCACACCCTTGCTCGGGTTACTTTTTGGTAGTCTCCTCCAGCATGTTGTCATTAGGAGCAAAACCGCAAAGTAACGGTAGCAAGAGGACCTGTCGTCAGGTCAGTGCCACCATCGAAATTTGTGCCCCGGCAGCACTGCTGCGCCTGGTCCTCGGTTGTTTATTCAGGCAAAGGCGATTGAACGGTCTGACCTGGGTTGGCAATGCAGAAATTAATTCCCCTGTCTGCCGCGGGACAGCAGTCTGTTGTCCTCAAACGGATGTTCGCGGGCAGCACGACTGCATATCTGACGTCTACATCCGCATGGACGCATAAGCATTCACCCTGATTCTCAATGGTCGGGGCATGCTATCCACTGATTGCAGCAAATGTTAACGGCAGCCACCCGAGGTCCAAAAGTAGGAATAGATAGGAAGCTCAGGAATGGCAGCAAACCCTAACTATAGCGGAAACGGCAAAGAACGGGTTGGATGCATTTGGCGGTAAATTCGTCTAGTGAGCGATCTTACACATTCGTCGACCTCAACAGAGACCAGACTTTGTTGTGGTCTTGTTTAGGGCGCAACAAACGCCAGTAAAATTACAAGTGGTTAAGACAGATGAAAATGCAAGTAGACGAAAACTCAAGTCTTGAATTCAACTCACCTTGCAGGGCAATAATAAAGTCGCGCTGGAGGAGGGGCTCAAGGAGCTTGTTGATTTGGCTGTGCTGTGAATGCGACATGCGGGAGAGGAGGCAGCAGAGGAATTCGATCTGGTCCCGGTCAGACCAACGTTCGAAGGTATCAATGCACAATTTCTGCTCGGCCGAAGTGCGGGAGTTGTAGGAACGGGGTCGTTTCTTCTTCTGTACGCTCACATCAATGCCCATATCGGCGATGGAACGCTTAATGTTGGAAATGGAAGTCCTATTGACCTACATAAAAGATCGGATTTCATGCATAAAAGGCAGTCGCGGTACAACAGAGGGATGGTATGCCACCTGCTGGATGAAGATGATTATGTATTTAAATGCCTTTTAGCAGCAATATAATCTGAAAAACTGACAAGAGAAACAAGTATAAGTGGCGTGCGCATTGGTAGCTGACCCACTAAAAATTTCAGTGTCAGTGGCTTCCTCTAGTTCTTGACGATCACAGCCGCTTTATAATAACCTTCGCTAGAAGTACAAAGTATAATCCGATTTCACGAGAATAATCTTCTGAGGACGCAACATATCGAAACATGACGACCCCAGGTCAAATGAGCTCTTCCTGATCTAATCATTGCCGAGATTTACAAGGAAACCCATGTTCTAGTCTCTGGATAGATAACTCCAGGAGCATGGACATTCAATAGTAGAATCCAACTCTACTGATTAGAGAGCAACGCTTCAACAACTGAATTATGGGCCCAAAATACGCAGGCTGAAGTCAGGAATAATAGCTGATGATAACGCTCTTCGAACATTAATTGCTCGCTGATGCACGATAGTCTGAGAGGTCTCATAACTCCAAGGCAAAACAGAATCGCCCGTATTTCGTGACACAATTAGGATAGGTCAGCGCATGTCACTCTTCAACAATCCCCATGAAATTTGGCAACAAAGTTTGCAGTGACTTACTCCAGTTGCATTGGTGCTCGTGACATGCTTTTATTAGAAACGATGGCAACGGATAAGAAAGCCGCGAGAAGCTCATTAGCAGTGAGTGACAAACAGGCTTACGTTGACACATGAACCGAAAAACTGCTATCCTTAACAACTACGGACCGCATGTGGCCTCACGCTATGCCTACAGTTACTGATTTAATGGGAAGTTGAGGTAACTTATTAGCATGGATATCGAAGGGGCAAATACACTAATGACTCCAGGACATCATAGAAGCTTGCTTCTAATCGGAATAGATGATTGTCAAAGACAGTTTAGCACATTAAATGACGAAAAGTAGAGGATTAGGATGACCATTCCAAATGTCAAAAACTGTGCGAGTACGCAGAGATGGCACTCACTGAAACTATGGTGGCAACTGCGGAAGAGGAGGCCCGGGCTCATGTCATCTATCCCGTTAGCTATTTATACTTAGATGAGTTTGGTTGCGGCCGTCACCAATAGAGGACTGCATGTCTGGGTCTTCTAAGTGTTCAACGAATTGAACTGGGATTAATCGTACTTTTATCAGCCACTACAAGGACTGGTCTGTTCGGCTCCAGTGTCCTCAACATCGTAAATTAGTGTGGCCGTGAGAAGCAATCGAAAATTGAGCGCTCGGGAGTTATCAGCAACGACAGACTGCAGAAGTCAACGACAGTAAGGTTTCATGAGTCCCTATAAATGAGGAACTTCCAAGGTGGTCCAGCAATGACCCGTCGATGCTGCTTTGGTAGTACCGGTTTGACATGAAATGGTTGTGTAAACCTCGCAAGAGACTTTAATGGGATCACTTAATTAGCATGGTAAAATTTAAGTTGGTATTCTCGATGGGCAATTGGAATTTCGGCACACATACAACAGCATCACAACAATTTGCCCGGAGCATGCACTCGAGCTTAGGTGCAGTCCGCCATTAGCTTGAAGGTCCCGAAGTTGCAGCATATGAGAAGGCAGATAACTTAAACTAACCTTAAAAAGCCAATGGCATGGATGGAAATGGGTCTAAAAGTGGTTCGCGCAGGCGGTTGGTGTACACTAGCAGTTTGGGTGATGGCACCGCGAGGACACAGAAAAGACCAGACTGGGAAACCAGTGATGCAATGTATGACGCCCGAAAACCTACAACTGTGATTCGCCCTTGGATGGTCTGTGGTTGTATCAAACGAAAGCAATATTCCTCTTTCATTCATCCCGATTTTCCTGCAACTCCGAGTTCCGAGGTGGCCGGAACGTAAGGGCTCTTACTGTTCGAAAAGGGTGTGCAACTATTGGGGTGACATCCACGACCTTGTGCCACACCGATACTGCCAGTCGAGTAGAAGTTTACGGTGGATCGTCGAGGTCTTTTGGGGTGAAGATTACTGTGGTGAGGTGCTCGGTTCTTCTGAATATCGGTTGACCACATGGTTACACAAAGATACTCCGTTGGGGACCGACTACACGTGACGTAAGTGAAAAAGTGCGGCGCGGGCCTTTTCCAGAGTACCCGTGAGAACAGGAAGGCTTCTTTTACTTCATCGTTCAGACATCTATATCAAGCATTAGCATGACGTTGGAATGAAGTGTGTACGATCTTTCAGTTGGACGTTTAAGGTCGTGCGGGGGCAGATACGGTTCCAACCCATTATTTTTAGCCGAAAACGTTACGGAGTGGCATTATTTGTTCAGGATACAAAATTGCTGGAGTGCCCTCTAACACCCTGTGATTGCTCATTCCTGGAACGGCCATACCCGCGCCATATATCAACCTCTTGTCTGATCGCTGTCGAGCAGTTGGTTGACAGGGAAGATAAATTACTAGTGGTCTAAAAACCGTGTGGACGATATTACCAGGCGCGCTACCGATGTGTTGGACGATATAAAGAGTAATATGTGTGTGTGACAGTTTAGATTAACACCGAGTTCTAAGGAAAATTATGCCTTTGGGGACAAACTACGCGACCGAAGTCTCGAAAAGTCCAAAAATGTGACAAGACAAGGACTTAAAAGTCTCACATTTTCTGATATGTCCCGACAGCATTCACACTCGAAACCTTTACAGGCCTCGTTGTGATCTACCGGCATATCCCACATAACCGGCGAAAGGAAAGAAGAAGAACTCGTAAATAGTGCTCTCAAAGACGTACTAGTTAAAACAAAGTACTCTAACGAATAAGTTGTGCTCGAATTTGGGACGCCATGATGAAAACCAAACCTTCTTCTGTTAGAAATCGTGAAACGTTTTCCCCCATAAATCAGCAAAATTACGCTAAAAGCACATATAATCTCTGTGTTGGCAAGGACTACTAAATACCAAAAAAATCAAAAAACTGGGGCTGGTTTTAGTTATCGCGTGCTGCAAAACTAAACCTAGACCACCAGCTACTTTTAATCTGTGAAAAAGAAAAAATGGGTAAGAAAAAATGTTAGTTCACGCCACTGCTCCGTGGATGTCATCAGCTTATGAATGAGTGCCCATAATTAAAACCCGTAAGATCGTTGAAATCACGTTAAACCGTCATAAGTACTTCAATTACCTCTCATTTATTTCCACTCTTGCAAAATTATGAGTAGTTCCGTGCATGCCGCCTCCTCATAAATCTCTGTCATGGATAATAGAAACAAGATTAGTAGACTAAAGTGAACCCTGGATGTGACTATCGCATGCTCTTCTTGGCGAAATCTGGTCATGCATTCCCTGGATGTAAAAAAGGAAGGAAATTATGACAGGGTGCATTTCGACAGAAACTTTTGAAAACCGAGGTATCAACATGACTGGGAAATTTTGTCGTCTCCTCAAATATCTATAAATTTGGCCGATGCTGTATTTTTTCTTGTGGCAGAAGGGCGTACCAAGCCTAGTCAGACGAACCTGTGCGTCCTGTTGCGCCTTTTGGATCAATCTGAAGTCCCTACATTCGACTGTATGACGACTCGGCCGGTGATGATGACAATGTCCAAAATGTGTGTCCCGAAACAGGGTGGACGCAGGGGTATAGTCTGAAACCCTAAGACTCAGTCGTATTACAACCAGTAGTGTATGCATGGCAAGCACGAATCCCTGATCTTCCAGACCTCAAATTAGGTATGCTGGCTGTTGACGGCTGATAAGCCAAAATGGCTGTTCCACTTTCTGTCAGCGTTGATGGTGTCCCTTGAATACCGTTTGTGCCTCCAGAAATGTCTAACGCAGTTGTTCTTTTCTCTCTGCTGATTGCGTTAGCCAGAATAAGACGTTTGCCGGTGTAGTTAGCAAAACCATCGGGTTCATGATGAACACTCCGATTTCCACTGCGTCGCAGGTGCTGGATTGGTTTACGACGCCATGGACACTGGGATCAAACAGACCGGTCCTTCTTATGACTAATACAAGTATGATTAATCTCTGGCTTTCTCTAGTTAAACTGTTCGGGCACTCAGAATTGCAGTCTTATATTAATCTATATTAATAAAATGGAAGTTTTTTGTGTTACCGTTAATCTCGGAAACTAATACACCGACTGAGATGAGATTTGGACACCACCTTGCCTGCGCATAGAGCCGGGTTTTATGTCTACCATCATAAGTACGCAGAGGGAAAGCCTGTGATATGTAAAAAACATGTTTTTTATAGCATAACAACGCCATCTGCTGACGCGCTGGCCTATGGCCACTTGACCGGCATCCACTTGGACACACGTGCGCCCACCGAACCACTTGACTGACATACGCTCAAACGCACGTGCTCACTCCGACGGCCGCGCTCGCCCTACCCCACTCCCTGCAGATCCTTGAACATTCCCTCCCCCTCCCCGCTAGGCCGATGTAATATGGGCCGCTGGGTAAACCACTTAGGAAAAAAACGATATGCTAATTCTGGGCTTCACTTGAACTTGCCGCTCAACACACATAACCCGGCTGTCACCGCTTAGGCTGAGATTCTCGGGCGTGACTCCGTCAGTTGTCTCATCGATACATTGTGGATATGTACGCAAAAATCGAAGCGGAACGCCTGCTTTCATTCGATTGAGTCAGACCAAGCTGTGCTCTGAGGAATCCATTAATTTGCGTGATGCAGTTGTAAACAACGGTAATACAACCAACGTTGGAAGACTAACGGTTTTGCCATTCAGATATGCAGGCAGTCCACGTCATATGCATGAGTACGCTCAAGTCAAAATTGCTTATGTTCGTCCGTACAGGCGTCCAGGCCTATTCATTGCATTTACATGCAATCCCGCTTGGGGAGTATTTAACAGCTCTTACTTCCTGGGCAGTCGCTGGTGGATAGGCATAACATCACAGCACGTGTTTTCAGGCAGAAGATGAAATCACTGATAAACGTCGCGCTAAAAGTCGAGGTGTTCGGGCTTGTGCGCTGCTGGATGTATTCGGTGGAATGACAAAAGAGGGGATTGCTCCACGCACATAGCTTTGTCTGGTTCTACAACAGGATCACCTACGACGAAGTCGGAGATGTAATATGCGCCGAATTACTTGACGTTAAAGTCGAAAAGGATTTGCACGAAGTTGTGGCGATGAATATGATACATGGACCTAGCGGTATATAAACCCCTAATTTCCCGTGCATGATAGACGGTAAATGCTCTACCAGATATCCTCGGGCATTCATATGCGACACAATTACCGGAAAGGATGGATATACCTTATACAGAAGACGGTGGCAAATTGGCAATCCGTACAACTGCGAACCGGTGACATACAAGTATATAACCGTTGGATTGTTCCATATTCGCCCTTGCTTTTAAAAGCATACAAAGCGTACATAAGCGCGGAATACTGCAATTTCATGAAATCAATTAAATACGCTTGCAAGTACGTAAATAAAGGCAGTGCCATGGCCGTTTTCTGGCCTGTGACCCGAAAGGCGAGAAAGGAGATGCGGACATACAACTCAATGAAATCGTACAGTTGTGCCGAGGCGCCAGACTATCTTGCCTTTCCCTACCTGTTCCTCATTCTTGAACTTACTGGTTGTTTAACTGAATGGAATGAACACAACACGACGCGACGCGCTTGGCATGAGTGGGATTGTCAGGTCGTTTGACTTTTGATTATTAATTCTTCCATAACTCTGGTCTTATCCTGATTTTTATAGTCTGGGATTGACGGTTCTGTCTTTAACGCTCGCGACAGCGGTGACCCTTTGACGTTCACGCTTATACCTTCAATTAGTCGACTTCCAATTTGCATACCGCCCGTTTGCCTTCTTTCTTTCTACAATCACGTCCTCTACGAATTCCAATGATCCCACTTCTTCTCTCAGTGGACTTGTTTCTTCCCTCCCAGACTTTTGGCAAAATGCGCCAGAACTTTATTTTTTCCGTATTGAGGCGACCTTTCACTCCGCCAAGATTACACGTGAAACCAAAAAGTTTTATAAGCTGGTCGAGGCCCTCCCTCCCACCATTCTTTCTCAAGTGCAGACGCTTCTGAGAGATCCCCCGACCGATGCTCCTTACACCAAGTTAAAGGCTGAACTTCTTCGCCTGACATCAGTCTCCGATAGGCAGCGTTATCACGCACTAGTAAAAGAGGAGGCCTTAGGTGATCGCAAGCCGTCGGAACTCTTGCGTCGCATGCGTTCTCTGGTTGGGAACATGAAAATCGACGACAAGTTCTTTACAGAGATGTTCTTAGAACGTCTGCCGACGTCTGTACAAACAATCTTGGCCTCTGGCTCCGACGACATAGAAATATCAAAGTTAGCGGAGATGGCTGATCGTATGATGGAGGTTGAGCGTTTGTCATCCCCGACGATTGCTCAGGTGTCTCAGCCTCTCAACGTGTCCACCTCTGACCTTGCTGAACTAAAGACGCAGATTGCCCAGTTGTCAGCGACTGTTGCCGCTTTGCAGCTGCGCCGATTCCCCGGTCCCTCTCGACGTTCCTTCGGTCGTGACCGTCGTCGTTCCCGCTCTCGCCCCAGGACCGCCAACCTATGTTGGTATCATGTCAACTATGGCGATAAGGCGCGGCGCTGTGTCCCACCCTGCTCCTTCAAGTCCACGCAGGGAAACTCCTCGGCCGGAGAGTAAATGCGGCCGAGCTCTCTGGCAACTCTACGGGTCGCACATTTTACGTGAGTGAAAACACGAGTGGCAGGCATTTTTTAGTCGACACTGGCGCTCAGATTAGTGTTATCCCTCCCACGCCAGCCGACCGACGTTGCCCAAACCATGGTCTTTACCTTCAGGCCGTAAACTCATCCCCCATTACAACCTTTGGATTTCGATCCCTCTCCCTGGATATCGGCCTCCGGCGATTATTCCCCTGGATATTTGTGGTTGCTGATGTTCCCACTGCTATCCTTGGTGCTGATTTTTTGGCCGCCTTTGACCTTCTGGTGGATTGCAGACAACTTCGCCTCCATGATCGCGCAACTACCCTCACTGTCAAAGGATTTCCTCCATCCTCAGTTTCTAATCAGCTCTTCGTCCTTGACCCAAACCCTGACTGTCCATTTCGTAGACTTTTAGCGAAATATCCTACCCTCACTAAGCCCCATTTTTCTGACACCTTATTTCCCCATGATATTGTTCATCACATAAAAACGACTGGTCCTCCCGTTTTTTCTCGTCCCCGCCGTCTTGCTCCCGCGCGTCTTGCGGCTGCTAAAGCAGAATTTGACCACATGCTGCAACTAGGGATTATTCGACAGTCTGACAGTCCCTGGGCATCTCCTTTGCACATGGTTCCTAAACCAAATACGGATGATTGGCGTCCTTGTGGCGATTATAGAGCCCTAAACAATATCACTATGCCCGATCGGTACCCCGTTCCTCATCTTCAGGACTTTGCCGGAGCACTTTTCGGCAAAACCATTTTCTCGAAGATCTATTTGGTGCGGGCTTTTCATCAAAATCCGATTGCGGCTGAGGACATTCCCAAATCGGCAGTGACGACTCCTTTTGGCTTGTTTGAGTTCCTTCGTATGTCATTTGGTCTCCGAAATGCCTCATAAACTTTCCAACGTTTCATTGACCGTGTTTTACGTGGCCGTCCATTTGTTTATGCGTATATTGATGATGTTCTCGTCGCCAGTCGAGATGTGGATGAACATCTCCATCACCTTACCCTGCTTTTCGACCGATTTCAGCAGTTTGGTGTCACCCTGCATCCTTCCAAATGTGTCCTAGGAGCCACTTCTCTTGAGTTCTTAGGTCACCTGATAGACTCGAACGGCTTTCGGCCTCTTCCCTCAAAAGTTGCCGCCATTCGGGACTTTCCACCCCCTACCTCGAAGCGTCAGTTGCAACGGTTTCTTGGTATGGTGAACTTTTACCGCCGGTTTCTCCCGAACTGTGCCGATACCATCCTACCTCTGACCAATCGCCTCTCAGGTCCCAAACGCACCTTTGAACTTACATCAGCCGCACTCACGTCATTTGAGCAGGTAAAAGACCTTCTGGCTGACGCCACCCTCCTGACTCACTTTCACGCTGATGCACCCATATCTTTGATGGTCGATGCCTCCAATGTTGCTGTTGGCGCGGTTCTTCAACAAAGTCTGCCGGACTGTACCGTGCCTTTGGCTTTCTTCTCCAAGAAACTACCCAAAGCCGAAACCCGCTACAGCACATTCGGACGTGAACTTCTCGCCGCTTATCTTGCCGTAAGGCACTTCCGGCATTTACTCGAAGGTCGAGAGTTCACAATTTTCACTCATCATAAACCACTCACGTTTGCAATACATTCCCATTCTGACAAGCTAAGCCCCCGGGAGATCCGTCACCTGGACTACATTTCGCAGTTCACTTCAGACATCCGCCATATTGACGGGTCAAGGAATGAGGTGGCTGACGCACTGTCCAGGCCCTCTATTGCTCATCTTCAGCTTTCACCCGGGATAGACCTCGCTGAAATGGCCGCTGAACAACGCCGTGTCGGTCCACCCAGTGATGAGGATGTTTCCGGACTCCAACTTCAGGAACTACCACTGACAACTGGCAACGGCACCATCTTATGCGACGTATCCACCCCTTCCCATCGTCCATTTGTGCCTCCATCTCTCCGCCGCAAAGTTTTCTCCTCCCTGCACAATCTGTCTCACCCCGGGAGTCGAGCAACCGACAAGCTGGTTTCCGACCGCTTCGTCTGGCCTGGTATGCACAAGGACCTGAAGACATGGACACGGGCTTGCATTGCCTGTCAACGGAGCAAGATCCAGCGGCACAACAAGGCCCCCATTGGTACCTTCCCCGGCCCTGGTGCAAGGTTCAGCAACGTTCACCTGGACATTGTAGGCCCCCTGCCTCTGTCCAATGGTTGTTCCTATCTCCTCAGCTGTGTGGATCGGTTCACTCGGTGGCCTGAAGCAATTCCCCTGCCTGACATTGCTGCTCCAACGGTGGTCAAGGCTTTTCTCAGTCGTTGGGTTGCTATCTTTGGTGCACCCTCCACAATCACGACTGACCGTGGTGCCCAATTTGAGTCTAACCTCTTCCAGTCTTTACTCTCCTTTTTAGGCTGTACCCGCATTCGGACGACAGCCTATCACCCGGCTGCTAACGGGATGGTCGAGCGGTTTCACCGCCAGCTGAAGGCCTCCCTACGCGCCGCGGCCGATCCGGAGAACTGGACGGACCACCTTCCCCTGGTCCTCTTGGGCATCCGCTCCGCTCTGAAGCCGGACCTTGATTGTTCCGCAGCTGAACTGGTGTTCGGTGCCACCGTCCGACTCCCCGGTGAGATGATCTCGCCAAACCCACAAGGTGCGGTTGAGGATCCCACCAACCTCCTGCATCGCCTCCGGCGGTTTATGCGGAGACTTTCTCCGGTTCCTCCCAGGTCCTCCGCCTCTCCGTCTTATCTCGAGAAGGACTTGGCAACGTGCTCTCACGTCTACCTCCGATGTGATCGAGTCCGCCGGCCTCTGGAACCGCCCTATGGCGGCCCATTTCGGGTGCTCTCTCGCGGGCCGAAGACTTTCCGCATTCAGCGCGACAATCGTGAAGAGGTCGTGAGTGTGGACCGCCTCAAGGCTGCCGTCCCTGACATTCCTCCGGATGAGCCCTGTGGTCCTCAACCTTCTGCTTCCCCCCACGGAGCCTCTATTCCACCGTCCCGTATTTTCCCTCTGCCCTCCTGTCCGCCATCTCCGACTGCCACCACCAACTCCAACACATCCGCCACCAGATTTATTCACTCTTCTACGGACCCTGTATATATCACTCGTAGTGGTCGACATGTACACTTTCCTGATCGGTTGGTCACGCATTTCTTTTAGACCTGTACACATCCTTCGGCGTCGTTTTCGCCGGCCTCCGGTCTCGGGGGGGGTACTGTGCCGAGGCGCCAGACTATCTTGCTTTCCCCTACCTGTTCCTCATTCTTGAACTTACTGGTTGTTTAACTGAATGGAATGAACACAACTCGACGCGACGCGCTTGGCATGAGTGGGATTGTCAGGTCGTTTGACTTTTGATTATTAATTCTTCCATAACTCTGGTCTTATCCTGATTTTTATAGTCTGGGATTGACGGTTCTGTCTTTAACGCTCGCGACACAGTATCGGGCCGGAAGGTACCTCAGCAGCAAAGAAGCCGTACGGTGAATTCTTTCATTTTCCATATATGAACGAACTCCAGCTGCCGTTTACTTGACAATACAATCAGTGAGTGGACAAAGTGTTTACTTTACATCTGCAAATGTGCGCCGGTTAGTCCTAGATCCACCGACAACAACTTTAGCTGCTATCTTCACGTTTTGCCAAACTGACGCGTATGCGAAAACACTGCTATATTCCGATGTGCCTACGTACTACACATGGGATGCGTGTATAAGATCTTTTGAACGACGCAAACTAGGAGAGTGAGTTGCCGGACACCCCGGAATATTCAAAGGAACCTCTATAGGCAGACTGTACACCGTGCATCCCAATCAGGACGAATGCTTCTTCCTTCGCATGCTGTTGGTAAATGTTCCCGGTCCAACGCCTTTCCAGCTACTAAAATCTGTCAACGGCGTTACAAATGCTGCTTTCCACAGTGCGTGCCAAGCTCTTCGGTTATCGCATAACGATCAACACTGGGACGCATGCGTTAATGACGTCTGCAACACGTCCCATCCACCATAAGTTCATGCATTGTTTGCAATCATACTGACTGCCTGTTCTCCTTCATCGCCTTAAGATTTAGGGGAGAAATGTAAATCGTACATGGCTGAAGACGTCTTTATTTACTATGCAAGGCAAACTCAAATGTGAATTTCATTGCAGAAATCTACAACGAGGCGCTAACAGTGATTGAGGATGTGTACGTAGCAATCGCGAACAAAGTTCTTAATCAGCTGGGAATGTCATCGCCAAACCGAACTGCTGTTGCTTCGTTAAATGTGAATTTGCGTCGAGAGCAAAACTAAAACACAGTTGGACTTCTGTCATACGTACGGTCAAACATTCCTAAACTACCGCTGGAGCAGAATGTCATTTACGATCATGTAATGCGAACAGTCAATAACGGGGTTGGAGGAATCTTCTTGTTAGATGCGTTAAGATGGACTGGCAAAACGTCTCTACTAAGACTGATTCTGACGGCAATTCGATCCAAAAATAAAATAACCCTAGCACTTGCCTTCCCGGAGTCGCTGCAACCCTACTACCTGGTGTAAAACCGCTCATTCGGCTTTGAAATTGCCGTTGAACATGCAATTCATGAAAACTTCCTCGTGCAACAGTTCCAAGGCATCCGGCATGGGAAAACTACTGCAGAAGTGCAAAATTATTGTTTGGGATGGATGCACAGTGGCGACAAAAAAGCTCGAGACTCTTGATCGATCATCGCAAGATTTGCGAGGGAACAGCAGAGCATTTGGAGGCGCACTGCTGCTGCTTGCAGGAGAATCCAGGCAAACATTGCCTGTTGTTCCTCGATCGACACCAGCGGACGAAATAAATGCCTGTCCGAAATACTGTACGTTGAGGCGCCACGTCCAGATGGTAAAATTAACTACGAAAATGCGGGTCCATCTGCAAAACGAACGATCAGCTGAGATATTCTCACACAATTTCTGGTTATTTCGAATTCAGGACGCATTCAGTACCTTTTACTTTCACAATCTAGTGTCTTCAAAAAAAGAATTGGTTGAAAAGGTGTTCCCCAGTATTCAAACCAATTATATCAATCACGATTGGCTGAGCGAACGAGTTATTCTTGCGGCCAAGAACAAAGATGTCTGCCAACTTCTCCGTCTTATTCGGTCTAAGATTCAAAGCGTGGCAGTCATATACACGTCCGTCAACACTGCTGTGGAAGTAGACGAGACAGTTAATTATCCAACAGAATTTTTGAATTCACTCGATCTGCCAGGGATGCCGCCGCACGTACTGCAATTTAAAATCGGCGTGCTGATTATCATGCTACGAAATATCAACCAACCGAAGCTCTTAAACGGCACGCGTCTTGCAGTAAAAAATGAAAGAGCAAGGTCGTCGAAGAAACTATCTTGACAGGACCTTGCAAGGGTGAACATGTTCTTATTTCACGCATTCCACTGATTCCAACTGATGCACCATTTCAATTTAGGAGACTGCAATCCCCGATTCGATTGGCGTTTGCAGTCACCATTAGCAAAACTCAGGGCCAATCTGTAGAATTGTGCGGTTTTGATCTGCAAACGAATTGTTCCTCAACTGGATAACTATAAATTGCGTGCTCCAGAGTCGGCAAACCAGACAATCTCTATATCTGCACAGACAACGCAACGACAAATCCTATTATATACCCACGAGCATAATGACATTAAATAAATTAGAAACGTGCCCCTTACTCTTTTCTTTCTTTTCAAATTCATCAGAATGAGCAGCAGTAACGCATGGCCGGCTCTAGGTAGTGTAAAATAAAAGCTAACAGATTATATAATGTAGCTCTCAACCTACTCTTTTAGCGTCGCTGCCAGAACATCTACAGTCTGTTGTCGCAAAGGTCCCCACAAGCTTTCATATTTCTCTTGCTGATATATTTTGCAAGACGTTTTCTTTGCAAACGCATCACAACTAAATCCTTCGTTTTTTTCACGATGAAATATTTCTTTCGGTGTGATATCAGTGTCGCAACACTCTGATTCGCCGCGAATCGGAGCGTTGCGAAATTAAAAATAAACGCCTACTGATTTAAGGAGACATGCTTTGCCGCTCTCAAACGGTCTATGTTAGTGATCAGCAGTCGGTGGATTTTGTCGTCAAGTGTGGTGCTTCCCAAGGTTCTGTTCTTGGCCTCACTCCGTTCGTTATATACATTAACGACCGCACTAACGACCTTTATTGCAATGTCGCAATGTTTGCCATTGATATAAGGATCTGGAACCCCATACGAAATGAAGTTAACGAAGGGCGATTGCAGGCAAACCTAAACCGACTCAAGAAATGGTCAAACGTCTGACTCTTGCCGTTGAACGCAAACAAGGGTAACTTCCTACACGCTGGCGGAGCCAGTTCCCCTAATCGCATGATCTATCGCCGGACAGGCATTATTGCAAGGAGTGGACACCCAGAAGAACTTTGGCGTGCGGATCACAACTTCACTCAATTCTACACTGCACTGCCCAAAGGTAGCCCAAACCCACGACATCTATACTGACCTCGTCAAACGGACACAGACTTCCTTCGTTTAAGACTGTTTCGCCAAGGTCTTTCGTATTTTAGTGTGGTCTCGTCTGGATTTTACTATACAAGCCTGGAAACCCTGTGCCACCAAGGACCTCAGCATACGCAAAAAATTTCCACGACAGGCAACCAACCTTGTAGCTGGACAGGGCCCACTACCCGACAAAACGCGATTAGCTGATCTCGATATCGTTCCTTTAAGTTACGGGCAGTTACGAGGCGAACTCATATAAGCTTTCTGCATTATGCGCGGTCAGGATTGGCGTCTCGTATCTGAAGACATCTTTGAGTTGGGGAGTGCGACCAAACTAAGAGGCCATCCACTAGAAATAAGTGTAACTGGTGCCTTGATAGACACATGAAAGCTCTTCTAAAAACAGGGTGATTTAGGCTTGGAATACTTTGTCTGATTAAGCTGTTATGTGTGCACCTGTAGAAGCTTTTAAAAGGAAGGTGGACCAGAATGGCATCCGAGCGCTATCGTCATGATTTCTTACGTAACCAAGTAACGGCCGTTACGATACTACTTCAAATCACTAAATGACGTTTGTTTACATAATTTATTAATACACGAACATCGGCGCACAGCACAACTCGCAATTACCGCTGCAACGGCCGACGATGTGGAGGGTAGCACACGGTGAGAGCGAAGCACTGGAAATAAATCCTGGCTAAGACCGATCCGAATAAAATAGTTAACATGCCGCAATACTCGTCCATACGCAAGGGAAGGAAAAACGTTAGTTAGGCAGTAAAATATAATGGGAAGAGATAGAAACTCAGAATACATATAATAGGAGTTCATTGTAAAAACAGGATGAGATAGAACAAGGAAGTGCCCTGTCTGGAAGTTGAGGCGACACTGGAATGCCAAATTAACAAACGGTGGGGAATGTAGTGCTGTGAGCAACTGCGGAAGATAACCGAGGAAAATGCAGACGTAAAGAAAGAGTTATTATTGTTTTGGCGAGTTGCGGGAAAGGGGTCTGCAGTAGTGGGAGGGAAGGACAGCGTCCACTTTTACCGAAACGTAGTTACACCATCACAATCACAGGCCCGCGCGCCAAGAAGTGCTTCTTCGTTCAAACAGCCTCTGCAGATCGTGGGCTGTTACACCAGGACGCCTGCTGACCGCAGATCATAATGCCTTCCCTGTAGTTTATGTGTACTTCAAGAAGCTACTGTATTACGCACCCAAGTAAGTACATACGCCTTCGGATACTGTCTTTGCAGGTTTTGATATTTTCTCTGTAATTGTTTAATTTTAATTGCTTTCCATTTTATTCGCGTGCTCCCACTGAGTAGAACAAGCAGGGTTTTTAAAAAGGAACATCTACTTCCTCTAAAATGAACCAAATTGAACTGAATCTGTTCGCGGCTTGATTTTACTCTACTGAAGCAGAGGCGGGAAGTCGATGTAGGTTGTTCTGGAACCGACAGTCGTGGGTACATGGGACTCATTTGTTTTTATGTCTGAGTGGGTTTATTGGTCCATAAAAGTGCTGGGTTTGCACACAGAACACCTTAAATAGGTTTAGCTCAACTATAATCAGCTCTGTCATGGGTGCTCGTAGAAGTCCACTGCCTGTAGTTGACTTTTCTACAGAGTCGCTTTCGTCTCGATATCGAATTGTTACCAGGCCGCTATGATCGGTTGAAAATTGCTCAACTAATTCTGCAGAAATAGTCGAAATCACCGAAACTCGGTTCATTCAGGGACCTACGTTAGAATGTTACATGAGGGAACCTTGAAATGTTGAAGACCCGCACGTATGTTTCCTCTCTTCTACCGTTATATGTACGTGTGCGAAAACTCAACCTCCATGCTTTTGTGTTTACCAGGAACCTAGGTTGGTTAAACGCATTCAGTACCTACGAAGCTGAACATAAATTGCACAAATGGGGACGAAAATCCGGAATTGTAGAAAAATCTTGGAAACATATTCTCACCGTATGAGAGCAGCCACAATTTAGTAACCACGAGTTGAAGAAACTACAATATAACGCCAGCGAACCACCTTTGGTTTTTCGAATACATATGTAAAGAAACAGCGAACGGGGAATCAAGCAGTAGTTTTCTCTTTTATTTCATATGATTAAATAGACACGATGACAGTGTGCACAAGCCGTGTGATGATTGTGTTTGGAGTAGGCGAGTGAAGGTTCTACAATTCTGCGTGATGAATCAAGACGCTGCTTAGAGGGCGAACACGCGGAGTCCGGTCACAGTCTCGACTAACATTTCCAGACGTTGATGGCATTGGAAAGATGTTTGCCTAACTTCCGTTATCACAAACGTTCCTATGTTAACTATTCCATTCTCAGTAGTACAATCTGCTGCTACACAACTTGTGCATATGATCTTGCCCTCAGTTCTCCGCGATTTCGGACAGGAACACGCCCAATAACCCGTCTAATTTAAGTGTATTTCGCAATTACTTATACATGTAACGGTTCGAGTTGATTCGATTCAGCCGGCTTCAGGGTCAATAGCATCATGGGTCAGGATGGTTAGTGTTCCGAAATTACCCACCGAACTCACCAAACGTTGCGTAGTCGATGTTTCATTTCCAAACACCACGGTTGTGCCACCAAACTGCTTAGATGGCGCCGCGGATAATCTCCCCTTAGGTGCGGCGGAGCAGGCAGTGTCCAAGACGGAGACTCCAGATAGCACCGGTAGCAAGGGTCCCTTATCGGCAGTCCAGTTGAACATAGGAGACCTGGCACATGAGCTGAAGTAGAAGTATTCTTGGAAAGCGCATGTACCGCAAGTCTCAATTATCCTCAGATTATTAGCACGTGACGTGAAAGCTTAATAGCCACAAAACAGGAGGCTTTTGTTGCATTCTTTTACACACGACTCTTTGTCATCTGTCTGACCTCGAGGCGTGACCAGAGCCCCTTTCAAAGTCCTGAGTTGTACGCGGCAGTTTACCTCTTCCTGGCACTGGCGGGTTGGTGCCAGAGGGGGCCCGAGGTAGGCAACGATATTATACACCTCAGGCCTTTTGCCATTCAAGAAGAGCGAGCGCGCTGTTTGCGTCGAAGAACCGTTGGACAGCACTTTAGTTGCGAAGAGTTCGGTTTGAGACCTAAAACAGAAGATAAAAGGACTATTCGAATCGCCGGGTCCAAAACATCAGGTTATTGCGTCGTCGTGCAGCACAGTGAAAGCCAATCGAAGTCGACAGTATCAGAAACTAACATCGGAATTTAGGCAAGCAACCAACACCGACGTCACAAGAAGACTCTGTGAGCATCCCTACCATTAGTTAAAGGGCAGTTTGGTGGCCAGTAGAACGGTCAAAACAAGACAGAACCTCCCTATCACGTCATTACACGAGCGATTGCCGGACTTGCAGGATAATTTATATGAGTTGTTTAACCAGAAGTCCTTGGATACGTCTGATGTGACCTTTACTGCAGTTGCAGTTGCTGATCGCCCGGATGTCGAAGTTTACATAGTTATTTATTGCCTTCGAAGCAACAGAGCTGCCTGGAAGAAGACAAAGCCTGGTGGGGATGTCCTGAAAAGGTGATTAGCAGTTGTGGAACATTCGATTTGTCCCAAATAACTACAGCAATGACGTTCTACCCCGGTTTCTTGTGAGGTGAGACGAGGGAGAACGTAGAAATTACAATGGCATCGTCATAGTCGACGGCGCTGGGAGGGTAACCGTGCCCCTTCCATGGAAATCCACGTGGAAGACATGGACACTGCATGGCAAACTCTCATAGTTTGTCCATTTTTGTACTTGTATCTGGTACGACTGCATTTAGGCCCGTCGCTGCCTGTGAATTTTACCCCTGTTGCAGGGGATCTGGAGAAGTTTCTCATTCTGCCAGTGACGGTGGCCAAATACCGAAGGCCTAAAACATCCACCATGCTTTGAACAACTGTGTTGAGACAGGTTTTAACTCGAGCTCTCATTGATACCTTCGGGTGGGCACCGGCTCTGGACCAAGGACAGCAACGCCGATTTCATAGGACAGACGACAAAGAACGTGCTCAAATTACCCGGCCGTCTTCTTAAATGACTGGAAATACCCTGGCAGTGTTGTCGTACAGAGTGCAGACTATCCCATTCGAGAGGAAGCTGAAGCATTTTATTAGGGGAGCAATCGTCTGATGAAGATAGTCAAGCACCAACAGTTTTCGCACGCCTGCCACACGCTCAGCTCATAGTCCAATACAACAGTTAATGACTAATTGGACAGATTTACGACACATTCGGACATTAGCTTCGATTGATATATTGCAGTGAGTCCATAAATACTTTCTGAGAACTGTTGAAGCCCTGCTGACAGCATCGATTTGGCCCAGGACACCGTTCTTACTCAGCCCACTTGGCAGCAGTCCGACCTCCAGGTTTCTGAAGCTGTCCACTTCTTCAATCCGACAGTCATTTATACCGAGGGATGCCTTCTCCTGACCTGCAAAACATATCGAACACACCGGTCTCCACCGCTTTGGTGAGCAAACCAACGGATCTAGTGACCTAGCTCACTCACGACGCCGAATACTGTCGATCACCGGACCTTGATACAAATAGGATGAGATTTCAAGCATACTCGAAGTCAGTCAGCTGACGCTTGGGGCAGGTTTGACACTGTCATTGCCGAGTATAGCTATTCCGAGAACCCATTCACTAGACAGAATGCGCAACAGGTAAAATTTATCCGAATGCCGAACTGAATATCAAACAGTGGGGAGAGTTTTGTGAATCAGAACTCGCGTGGTGGTGGAGCGAGAGTAGGGCCCGCTTGCGATGAGTGTGTTTTCCAGCACACCGTCTGGCATCACGATCCGCTGGACGGACACGATAAATTGAATCGAACGGTACGACCAAGTCAGGAAGCACTGGCATCAGTTGCCAGTGGCCATTATGGGACTCAAAAATGCATCTCAGTCTAAATATCTCTCAGAAGGGAGCGAACAAGAACAGGATCTGACCCTAGCTGTTGCCAATTTCGGCATCACGGATCGACCTGTTATCGTGAATCCATATACTGGGTCTCGAGCCGACTAAAATGTAGTTAATCTGGCTGGCCGTAAACCATCGTTTGAATACCGGTTCAGTGGATGCCTGCGGCGATGCTGAAAGGACGCGTTGATGTCGACGGGCTGATTCTAGTCAGCAAAATCAAGCATTCCAAAATTATCGCATCAAAACAAGGCTCAAACAGCCAATAAGGTTATTTCTCGGAGCACCCTGGCCAACTTTGACCATTACATTCTCTTCCCTTACAATCGGTGGATCCCATCGAGGAAGTCCATCAGTCGGTTCTCTTAGCTCGAGTAAGAAATCCATCTGCTCTGTTGGCTGACAGCTGATGTTACTGCGTAGATAAAGATGACAAAGGCATAAGTAATTTATCCTGTAGGACCTACGTAAGCCAGTCGGTCCTTAGCGGATTCCCACTCAAACAATGTGTTGTTTGTTACGAGAGGACAATCGCCCCACCGCACCCACCGTAGGAGTCGCGTGGAGCGCCGTGATGTAAAGCGAGGTTGGGATTGACCTCTAGTATCTCGACTCTCTGCCGGTCTGGATCGAGGATTCGTTCTTCAGACATACATGTTGTACTGAAGAAGACTCTCTGCCGGTAGACTTTGCATACCAGGGTCCAGGAATGTTAACACGTTCCACCATCCTATAGCAAGAGTCCGTTCCCGATTGAGCAGTCTCGCATTGTCGAATCACAGAATCGGGGTTGGGGAATGCGTTGTTTGCAGCAGACGCCATTGCATGCATTGCAATACATGAATCGATTTTTTCTTTATGAGGTTTCTTGGGAATTTTAGGTACTGACGTGTTCCCAACAGCCGCTCAAGTTATTTGTTCGGGGTTTATATCTTCTGCCTATTTAAGTAAACAGTCGCGAAGCAGCGGGGCAACCAGACTTACTTCATGGTGGTTTATGATTGCCGTACCATGGAATTTTATAAGGCAGTCGGCCTGCCAGATCATAGCCCACCGCACCTTGATAGCACTGTCGATGTCCGTCCACGACCGTTTATTCGTCAGACCAGACAGCCCGCTTACTTCTCAACCAGCTTTACTTATCTGTAGAGGTGTCAGATAGCTGCCAGTTAGATTAACAGGAGTTCCGCTGCCTGGGTGACTGGTTGAAGCGGTAACAAAGAGGATTGGTGACTTTCGGGCCTCTTAATTCCGTCCTTTTGCGTTGACTTTGAATTTATCTGACCAGGAGAAAGCAGGGCCTGTAACATGTTGAAGTAGTTAGGTCAAGTGGTGAATTATCTTTAACACATCTTTAGCACATCTCATAATGGTTTTTCAATCAGCTAGAGGCTAAATTCGCTTTACGTAAACGCAGTCCCTGCTATGTCACTAGTATACTGCCACCTAGTCATTCCTCCGCTTCGGAAGGTTGCCTCTGATAATGTTTCCTCCGGGGGACTCACTCAGGATTTTCCTGCTTCTTCTTAGATCAACGCCGGTTTTCTAACAGAATGAAGAAAAGAGCAAAGCAGAGTAGGTTCTCCTGCCACGGTGATTAGTTTTATTCCAGCCAAGAAATTTGGGATCCGTCGAACTAAGCTCAAACAAGAGGCAAGGAAAAAACAGAAACCCGAACCCATTCGTCCCGTGCTCTACACTCGACGTGTCAAAACCAACAAACACAAAAAGCTCAAAAACATTCCGCCGCCTCTCTCTGCGAATTTAGAGTAAGGTTCCTTACCGGTCAGACATTGTAGTCTTTAGAGGTGATGATGTAAATCTAGACCCGCTCGATGATGACGAGCAGAAGCCTCCAGCTAGTTTTCGTGAGATGATGTGGTTGAAGCGGAATATTGAGAGCCGACATCCTTTCCGTCTGGACCCAGGTAAGCGCCGTTTTGTACTTCTCAGTTCCTTTTCTGTCCAGACGTTGGCGACACTAAAGGCATGAAGAAGTTCCGACCTACGAAACCACCGCAAATCGGCAAAAAGGAGTCTGAGGAGGCATTTTCTCGCCGAATGGAGCGGGCAGCGCAAGAAGAACTGCTGAAAGTGAAGCTCGCCAAGAGGGCAAACGTATGTTGCACCTGTTTTCATTGGCCCTGACACCTGCTCGGCCTTTGTAGGCACCGCTCGCAGATCCCGAAACGTACAAGTCGAAAAAGGCAAAGAGGGCATTAAAGTAGAGTCCTACCTCTCAACTTCTTCTTTACTTCCCTCCTATGTTTAGACGTCTGGCCGAGAAGAAGACAGTGAAGAAGCAGTTCCGGCATGAGAAGCGCTTGACGGGTTTCGAGCATCTCGTAGGTTCGTTCAAAACTGTCATAGGGTGGCCTTTTTCTGGTTACTCTGCCATTTCATGCATGTTTGCTCCCCTTCTGCTCTTTTGCTGACTTGCTAGTCAGCGTTGCTTGCTTGTTTGTCGAGACATTCTCTGAGACCGATTTCATGACATCGGAGTGGAAACCGGACCATTAGTGCTAACATATTAGAGGGTTGAGGGGAAGCAGGCTTTTTTTTACAGGGGTCGGCAGACTATTTTGGCCTCATTCATCACGTGTTTTGACCCGAAAAGTTTACCCTTTATTTGTTGACTTCCTCATGGATGAGTAAATAAGCTTTAAAACGTTGTCTAACAGTTTAGTACCTGAAACACTGAAAGCCGGCTACGTTTTAATTCCCTGTCTTGCGATCCTCTGTTTTAGCTACCTCCCTGTAATCCAGTATTTGAAGTATCCGAAGACATAAGTGTTCGACCGTCGGTTTCGACCATGTCCACCGTGTGCTCCGCAGCGAGCTGAGAGTAGGCACAGTGACTTGTGCGTGAGTTAGTTTATAGTGATCGTAGACTTCCGCAGCATCTACTGCACTCTCCCCTCCTCCTTCCCCCCACATAGGCCCGGTGTCAAGACAGAGTAAAGAAGTCCGGAGGCGGGGGAGGGCGCAGGTGGATGGCACGGTCGAGCCCGCACCTTGACGCTCCACTCCACACCTGGTCCACGCGACAAATAACCAGGTTTTTGATTCACAACCATGGGGGGCGGGGGGTGACAGGGTTTCCAGTGTGCGCGACGTACGCCAGCAACCGGGTCTGCCACCGCACTCCGAAATGTTGGCATTTGTTATGGTGTGCAATCTGATAATGCCTGCCAGAATCTGATATGGCCCCCGTGTTGGACCATCGCATCTACCGTGTGGCCCGTTTGGGGGGCATATCTGAAGAAACAATCAATCTCCCTCGAGCCCTTGATTAAGTGTGCTAATTACCTTAGCTATGCGACTAGAATGTGAAGATCTTAGCGCCGATAGGCATCACTACGTCCTTGGAAGCCGAGCCCAGCTTGAAACACATCCGGTTGCCACAGCAAGCCTGCGTGTGTGCACATCATTTCTAAGTAGATGGTTGTTTATGAACTCATCCTACTTCCCGAGTTGCATATCATGCCTGGTTTTGTCAGAGACGCTTCGCTGCTAGTCATTCTATTCCCAACTACAAAGGAACTTTGTTAAATTTGGTGATGGTCTCCTAGCCAGGTGTTGCGGGGGTTTTTACACTTTTCCCTCTGCAGACGCACCTTTTATTCACCCCTCCTCTTGTCCATTTATTCACTACTCAGATACTGTGAAGTTTGGCGAGGTCGTGAAGGCACCCCCAGTTCTTAAAACGATGCCTAAAAAGGTTGGAGGCAAGGGC